GTCTAAGAGGCATAAGACAAGACAATCACCTGATTCCTGAACACATATCCCAGAATACCTCCGATAAGCATCAGAATGAATATGAAGAATAAGATGACGAAGAAGGTTAAGAGCATACACCGAATCTCCTTATAGGCACCCAATGATCCTAAGAATGAGATGATGGCCACAATGACACCGGCAGCTATCAGTAAGGCTGCCGATGCCACCTGTCACACCACATATTTGGGGAGATATTTGTCAAACTATTTTGAATACAAAATGAATTCATTTTTTGATTCTCACGTATAAACTGCTTCCTAGCAGTCGCTCCATAAACGAGCGGTCGGCTAAAGTCCATACCCCCACTGCAAACACTACCAGTCCTCCAATCTGTTATTATAACACCAATATCAATTTCATTATACATTCAAATGACATATAATTGCAAATTGTTTAAATGCAACCTTTAAAATATACTATGTTAAAGTTTAAACAAACTTTCAACACATTAAATAAATAAAAATAAGACTTTAAAAAATTAACCATGACCATGCAAGCGATAGAAATGTTTATTTTAGATTTAAAAAAAATAATTATAACTTATAATATAAGTCTTATATCATAAAGTAGTCGAATTTTCTACATGGTTAACTTATCTTAATGCAACTAATTTAGTCTACATTATGAATTATAATTTATAACATAATACAAATATTAAAACTTTATTAAACTATTCTTATTAAACAAATTAATTCTATCTTAATCTTCAAATATATGCTTAAAATGTTTTTAAATTATTGAAAAGTATAACAATTTTCAATGAAAATAGGTTATTAATTATAATTTATAATAAATGCTAGAATAATTTCTTTAAAATATTAAAACTTTATATAAACTTAATATTTGAAAATCGTTTAAGTTTTGAAAATAAACTATTCCTTTAAATGTCTCCAAAATGCACATAATCTTTGTGAGATAATAATCAATTGCTCATAACATGGTAACGAATGAATACTTACAAAAATAACTCCATTTGCGGCAAACATTGCATATTTAACACCTTTTCCAAGTCCGTCAACCATTTTCTCATACTTTGTTTAAACACTTCTAAAAAGAGTAATAATTTTTTTCAGCCAAAACTAGAACATCAAAAACTTAGTCTAAATAAACAGTGTTTTGAAAAACGAAAGCAAAATATTCTGTATGTTATAAATAATTTGCAAGAATAATGCTCATTACCCGAGCCCTGGAGGGTGTGGTAGGCTTTAAGACATAAAAAAAGAGCCAAAATATAAAATAGTTGATATATTTTATGAAATACCAAAATACTAACTGAACACCAATACAGCTATACTTGTCTCATATAATTATATTCTCTCTCTCTCTCTCTCTCTCTCACTCACTCACTCACTCTCTCTCTCACTCACTCACTCTCTCACTCTCTCTCTCTCTCTCTCTCCTGTGACTCACTTTATGAATGGGTTAATAGGAGATGAGGCCTCACCTATGGATAGGTATATATGTATATAAGAGCTGATCGGGAAGTTTCCGAAACTCTTGTAATATATTTTGAGCTCTAAATGGATATAAATTTATGGAAAGTTTCTAAAAATTACAAAATAGAGAAATTGTGTGACTCTAACAAATACCTACACCCAAACACTAATGGCTTGGTATAAAATACTGTACTTATGCACTGATGATAAGATTGGAGTGAAAGCCATTGATGAGAGAGAGAGAGAGAGAGAGAGAGAGAGAGAGACGCAAATATGGGTGGACTGAAGTCACGATAGACAGCATGAAGAGCACTGACATTTCGGTAAATATTACGGCAAATATAAAAATCAGATACTTTTAACTCTCAGTGTAACTTTTATTTTCATTAATTAAGTCTTTAAATTGAGAAATCAATTATTTGCTAACAATTGAGTCAACTCTTTGGCAAAGAGTGAAAGTCCGTAGAAATTGGATAATTTTCTAAAGCATTAGATGTAATGAAAAAAATGTCAAAACAAATAGAGTAAGGATTGGCATAAAATTCATGGAGTGGTGAATGAGTGGTCACATAGTGATAGCACAGGCAGAGAGCACCTGCATTATGATGAAAATAATTCATTATTTAATGACACGTTTTATTTCCTAAAATAAATTATTCATTCATACAGTGCTGCAACAAAATAATATCTCTTTTAATGTGCAAAATCCTCAGTTTTATAAAAATATCTATAAATCATTTGCTATTAATTAAATAATAATACTTTTCAACAACAATCATAATTTATAATTATATCTCAGTCAACATGCTAATTATTATTAATAATAATTTTCAAACACATTTCGTAATTAAAAGCCATTATATTTCAATTACTTTATGTAATACTTAGGTATTGTGTAAATGCTAGATTCACGTGCTATTAGGTATTAATTTTTTTAAAACAATAACCTTTAATATTTAAATTTAAAACATATATGATAATCGATAAACAAATGTATTTGTTTCAAGTTATAAATACATTAGATATGAAATCTATGTTAATGTAGTTTCACAGCTCTATCCACTGGTGGAAAGGCATGCAATATAATGACAGTTGAATTGCTATTCAATAGTTTCTTAGCACTCGTTTTGAAAAGCGATGACAAACTCAAAATCCATTAGAAAACGTGTTATTCACTAATAAATTATTTAATACACAGGTATTTGCATTGCGATTGTATTGAATAAAAAACGGTAAATCTATGACAACTATATTGTTATTATTATTATTATTTGCAAATTCTATGAAATATGTTTTTTTTCATGTAAGTATTTAGCCGTAGTCTATTAAAATAATTGTTTCTTAGCAACAAATATAGTTTTGTGTTGAATATTATTTTTTTCTCAACAAATCTTTCTATATTGTTTTTTTATTGCAACTAATTTATTATTACAAAATTGAAAACTTTTATTTTATATTAAATATAACAAATATTATAGTTCTTTTTATTCACTGAATAAATAATTATTACTTAATACTGTATATAATTTCAAGTTTATAGACTAGGATTAATTTTAAACTAAATATTGTTAACAATTGAGAAGTTAATCTGAGACTTAGGTGAATAAACAAAATTATTTCAAACATAACATTGAAAATTAAGATTCAATGCATAAACAAATTTCTCAAGTCATGTAAACTATTCATTGAGTTAAGAATTAGATTAATTCAAATAACTTTCTCGTGTTATTTCTAGACGACAACACAATACATGTATAACTTATACAGTATAACTATTACCTGATATATTGACACACAATTTGTGTCATACCATTCCCTATAATAACAATAAAAAGGTTTTTGAACTCCAGGCGCACAAAATCTTCACTGCAATAGCAATGCCTTACACACAAAATAGCCTTTTTGTTCAATAATATTGAATCAATATTGGTATTTGCTATCAATGTTATATTAATATTAGCAAGTTATTAGATACTGTATATTTGTAAGTTTTAAATAAAATGTGACTTACTTATTAAATTTTCTGTAATATAGATTACTATCTAACACAATATATTTTATGTTGTAGTGCATAATTAAACAATAAGCTTTAATTATAAAAACATAATTTGTTGGATTTTAAAACCTGAGATATTAATTTTTAAAATTTTAGTTTAATAAACTTTTCTTGTTTGTTAATGAGAATAAGTAGACAAATAAATTGCATAAATTATAAAGTATTATAAGCTATAAACCCTTTACTCTATAATACTACTTATTATTTCATAGTAACAGATATTTAATAAAGTAAAATAAATAAAAAAGTGTTAAAGTTTAAGGTCGAGGTATTAATAAATATGTGATTTAAATAATGAACAATAATATTGGGCTCGGAATGAGGACATGATATTAATCATAATTGTGTTATTGATTGAGTGATACAAATGATTGCTCCAAAAAACGCTAATCAAAATACACAGACATTATAGAAACGTAAGGAAGACTTGGAAATGCCAGAGGCCTTACATATCGCGTCCCCACCCAAACACAATATATATATATATATTATTATATAATATATTATATATATGTATAATACCTAAAGNTCACTGAGTCTGTGTCGCAGCTCCGGGATCGCAGTGTACGCGATGTTCAGCTCCTTTTTGGTCTCCCTTTCCGTTCAAAACAAATAATTCACATTTTTTGTCAAACTAAAGGCTAGACTTAAAGTTTAAAGAAATTTCAGACTAAATTATATTTTATTTTTATATATATCGATATCTAAATGGCAAAAGTTATTAATAGCGTTATATCTAACTTAATATCTGTTAAGACAGGAAACAATTATGTCATGGTTTTATCAATTTATGTCTCGATAATCGAAATTAATTTGTAAAATATCGATCATTTTCTTGTTCTTGACTTTACATTATTTAGATCCCATTTATCATAAATTTATCACTCGTTTGACACAAATTGTCGAAATTGTTATGTATGAGAGGTTTTATTTTAATTTAAAACATTAGTAAATATGTTAAACACAATAACCAAAGTATTTAATTTACAGCAAAATAGAACTTAATATTATAAAAATTAATAAAGTTCCCTTAATATATTAATGACAATTAATAGACAACTATTTGTAATTTTTAAATCATCAGGCATAAAGATCTTTTTATAAAAATCAACCTGTCAAACAATTCACGACAATAAAATGAACGTCAAAACTGATAAAATCTAATACTTGAGTTATTGGTTAAAAATATACAAAATAATAACTGATATTCAATATATTGCTGAAATATTGGTGCATTAAATTCGTGACATATAAACATGAAAATCTACATAAACTCAAGAGATTATAGATTGAGTGTAAACATTGATATTCTATTATAAATGCATTTCAAACAAATAATGGATTTCTACTCCAGAAATATGTAAAACCTATTGTTTTCACTCTAAATATGACATCAGATTTGCATTATTTTCTAAGAACCACTTATACTAACCATTGAAAAGTTCGCAAGAATTGGTGTAAATTTGCTGTAATTTTCTAATTATAACTGTTAATCAAATATTAGATATGTTAGTGACAGTACACCGGCATAATGCTCAAAATTGCCATCAAAACCAATTTCCGTTTTGTAAATATGGGCCAAAAATATGACAAAACACTAGAAGCCCATGAATTATATAAATGGATTCAAAAACTTTTAACTCAAATTTGTTTATACTTTAAATTACTTATAATTATTACTGGTAAAGTATATAAATTATAGTGTATATTATCTTTGCACTATCAAACAGCTTTACTATTTATAGACTAACTTTACTCCAATAAATACCAAATACAAATTAATTTAAATTAAATTTGGATAAACATGTAATTTAAAATTTGTATTTCAAAATATAATTAAATATTAAGAAATCGAAAGATAAATTACTTGTATTAACATATTAGCCACAGACACAATTTAAGCATAAATACAGTATATAACTTATTTTAAGTTGTAATTTAAATGCTTAAATTTATACTTTAAATTTGTATTTAAATATCATAAAATTATAGTTTCATATTAAAATTGATTTAGTTCAATTTTATGTAAAACCCTAATAATATATTAAAAGATTAAATGATATTAGTTCATTAAAAATTAATTGTTTTAAATATAAAATATATAACTAAAATATACCTTTTTAATTCTGAATTAAATTTACAATTTTTGAATGGAAACCTAGTTTCATTAGTAGCCTTTATATGAGACTTAAAAATTGATTAAAAATGAAAACTACAATTTAATATACAGAGAGGTAAACAGTGGCAACTGAAACAAAAACTTGTCAACACTTTTGAATTTTTGTCACGATTTCTAAACCCTGAGAAGTATTTAAATGATTATATTCTATTAAATGTAAATTTTTGATGAATTAATAAATAGTTTTGACACGAAATGAATGATAAGTTATATTAGAAAACACTCTCTTTTGACAAAATGAAACTTTCAATCAAAAAGTTGTTTATAAAAAGTGCTTTTTCTTTCTTTTTTGACGTTTTGTTGTATTTAATTGCAAGTTATGGCCTATTATTGAGTTTCCCGGACAACAACCGCACCACTCAGTCGGCCACAGCTCAGCCATACAACACCTCCTTAGATAACACACCTCAACAGTGCTGTCAATACTATCGGTGCTATTACGACAAAATACCATTAGGTCTTCCCATAAACCTTTACATTTCAGTTGAGCTTTTATGTCATCTTATTATTCATACCTTTTTTCGTAGAATATTCTTATAAGTCAAACATGTGTTCAACTATTCTGTCTCACTATCAATA